TGCTGAACTTTTACCACATGAAGTAGGGGTGAGGAGAAAACAAAGCTACAGATGTTCTTTCTACAACAACCCTACATGCAGCAGTGTAATTCTGCATTATAATGACCCAGGTACAAATGACCTACTGAACAGTATCATAGAGCCAGTAAAACCACTATTCACTGTCACAGAAGTTTTTTAAACAGTGCAGTTACCCAAAGAAAAAGTGAGATCCGACTCCAGTTCATTTAATTTTTTCAGAAGTTCTGTATTGATTTTTTCTAGTTCTTTTTCTTGTTTGTCATCATCCTTCCCATCACAGTGATAGTTGTACCTTCAAACCAAGCCAGAAGATAGAAATTTTACTTTACAGTACATACAAACATACATAGACATTTAACATGTTTCTACAGATCTCTGTATTTTATGAACCAAACCCCTCAAAATGTTACAGCGTAGATTAACAAATTTATTGGCATTAATCATTAGAGGTTTTGGGGTGGGGAAGGCTGCTGCTGCAAGCTTAACACAACAAGGTTTCCAGGGAATATGCTGATTATACCTCAGGTGTTTTGGCCATACAGAATCCTTCCCAGCAGACAGTATTAGAGGATCAGAACAGATACTAAAAGGATTTTATTCAGTATATTAGTGAATATCATTATAGATAAAAATTTAATGTATAGAGTAGGATGCACTTGCGTATTACATGTCCATCTAACAGATTCACATGGTGCTTACAATGTTAGAACTGTTGTCCTCATTTTGCTGGAACAGCTCTTCAGCTTTTCTTTTAAAAAAAAATCTCAAAGTGAGCAATATTAAAAAGGCATTTTTTCAAAATGTACTCGAAAGCTTCAACTTTGTGCAAAGCCAGATCACAAACAATACATACTAATCACCACTAGAGAGATCACATACTCCTTTCTGTTAATGCACAGTCTATCCAAATACATAAAGAAACACTGAAAAATTTACCTTACAACACCTAATCCAGGCCAGCTGAGATCTTCAATGTATAACAGGCCTATGGTTCTTCTCACTTCTTGCTCAAATTCCTCTCTCATTTGCAGTGTACTTGTCAATACTGGTATCTTCATTTTTAAGCAGTCTACTAACTGATCAACATCTTGTATTTCAGTTCCTAAAACTAAAGAGCTAATGTGTTGGTGTGTGATAAAAGTGAACAGACACACACATAGATGTCTGAATAAAATAAGTAATCTGTAAAGAAGCCACTCTAAGTCAATAATAAATACATAATTTAGAGATAGTATTGAAATGTCTTGATCTACCATAATAGCGTTTTTTTCTGCAGTTATCCACCCATTGATACATCAAAATGGAGAGAGGTACAGATATAATAAAAACAAGCTATTAAAAAGGATATTCTTATGTTTTAACTAACAAGGACAATACCCTTTTTCATTACATCAGTAGCTATCATCAGAAAAAAATCTCCTCTTCCCATAGCTAAATAGATAATAAATTAGCTTCCATGCTGGGTTAAAAAAAACAACAAAACAGTTAAAAAATATAATCATGGCATCATCAAGTAATTTTATTCTAAAATCTGATTTTCTATGTACACCAGGATCCTCTCAACTCAGTGTCAGGTGTTCTGATAGCCTAAGCTATTGATCCCACACAAGCTAAAAGGGGATACTGTGCATCACCCTGAGCCCCAAGATGCTCTGTGAATCTGCTGAGTATAAACCACATATGGATATGGTGCCGGCTTAAACATGAAATGTAAGACACTTTGCAAAACACATATTTTAACTTTTTTCCCCTCCTACATCATTAATTATAGAAAAACCTAAAAGCTTAGTAAATAATTATTCCAGATCAGTAGCTGTATTTCAAACACAAGCACCACGTCAGTTTTGAAACATCTGTGTAGAAAGGTCAAGCATCTTCTCGTATTAAGTGGCCGAGAGAAGGAAAGGTAAGGATAGATTTCTTTTATAACTGTCAGAAACGAAGTGCTTCTCCCCTTGCTTCTCCAAATGAATAAATAACTGGTCTTTCTCTGCAGAGGTAGTGAGGCAATGTCACAACAGCTGAAGTACCTCTAACACACCCACTACCAAGGCACAACGGAATGATAAAGCCAAGATTTTTTTGGTTTGTTTTGTTTATAAACAAAACCCTCACCATAGGAGAATATACTGAAGAGTTTCTTGAGTATATCTGCTTTAACACCAGGAGATGCCTCCACAATTCTAAAGCAATTCCAGTTTTTACAAGTGGCTGAATTAAGGAAACATTACCTGCAGAAGTCATTAGTGGGCTAAAACGCACACACGTGCCTTCATCTTCCAGTTCTACCACATCAACTCCGCTGGCAGGAACTAGCTGAGCCAGCTGCTCTCCCAGCTGAGGGGATAAGGCACAGTTACAGGAAAGCACAGAGCACACCCCCTGCACTCGCTGACTCAGGCTAGACTCTTCCTATAGTTAAGGAGCACCCCTGGAAGCATCCCCCTGTCATTTCTTTCTTCCTGAAAAGGCATCCATTCTTACCCACTGATTGAGAGTGTCATAAACGTCTCTTTCGTTGCTTGTTAAAGGGTGCTGAATAGCTGAGGCCTGTGCAGCATGTGAGGTTTGATCTGAATCCAAAGATACAAGAATCACAGAAGTGGATTTTTATTTACTTAAACAAAAGGCAACCTAAAATTTAGATAAAAGACAGTTACATTTTCTAGGTAATGCAACACATCTACATGATGTACTGGACCTCCAACAGACTAACAAAGACTTTTTTAAAGGTATGTTGAACATGACAAATACTAGAAATAAAACAGCTGAATGTACTAGTTTTAAAAACAACTAACAAAATACTTCTCTCAATTTGAGGTTCAAATGCCCCAATTGTAAATAAACCAAATATATTCACAAAACAAAATCCCATCATAGCAGGCTGAAATATTTTATTTGATGCATTCAGCTAGTTTTTTTCTAAATTGAGTTTTAATTATAATTTTCTGTTTTAAATCACACAAAAATTATAGTAAGGATTTGAAGGTCAATTATATACATGAAACATGCAGAAACAGCCAAACACTTTATGTCCTTATCATTCAGGTGGATGGCTTCTCCCTAGTGCAGCTTTTCAAATAAATCCATCAACGTACAAAGCAATCCATCAAGTCACTGGACCAGGGTGGATATGTTTACTTTTTAAGTGCAACCAATTAGATTAAAATGAAAACCAGCCCTCACCCATGCCCAACAGAAAAATCCACAGACAATTAAACACTCATAACTGTTTTCTAGCAGCCTTTTGCCTCGTCCCAGCTGGGCATTTCTCCACTCTTGGAGTGTGCACACACAAACAGCACAACACTGAGAGGACAAAGCAGGTCCAACTACGGGTGCTCTGCTCAGAGCCACATGTGGTGTGGCTACTGTACACCCACAGCAGCATTCACAGAGCTGTTTGTTCCTCCTGAATTCTGCTACTTCTGAAGCTATTGCGACAGCAGTGTCACCAGTGAAACAGAGAAACAGGGTTCCTGCAAGCAGCTACTGGAAGTTTAAAAGGAACAAAGCCCCAGAAAACCAAGATCCTCCCTCATCGGTTACACTCAAGCACAAACTCATGGAGACTTCCAGCATCTGCTCTCAAAATCAAATGCAAATCTCTCCTCACTCAAGCAATCAGAAAATGACTTGTTATGAAAATGTATAGCCCTGCAGTCTATAAAAAAAGAAGCTATCACATGTATAGATTCTACCACTAGATTATGACCAGCCTTCACAACCGTTTTAAAAGCATGGTACAATGGAGAAGCGCACTACATAACATTTATCTCATCACATTCATTTTACAAACCAGTAGTTTAAAAAACTGTAGAGATGGGTTTTGTTTATAAACAAACCACATACCTCTATTTGAATATTCCCGGAAGAACTTGAAAACCACCACTGGTGAATTCAGTTCATCTTCAACCTTAAAAAACAAACAAACAACTGATTTATTTTCAAATAGTTTTTAAAGATTTAACACTGTATATAATGCCTTAGACGGATGAGCAAAGCAAATAATTTTCACAGCAGTAACAATGTTCATACTCTTTCAGTATTAGAAGTTAACTCTTCTGTAAACACAGGAAAATAAATCATTATTCAGTTAAAGCAGAAATGTATTGATTTAAGGTATCCATAATTAAAATTTCGGTACTATAAAGCAAGGAACCTAAGCTTGTTCATTAGCTGGTAGACTGCACTAAATAGTTTATTTAGCTTTAAGTATTTCCAGACATTAACATAAAAAAAAATAAATCCTGGAAATGGCTCCAGAATTATTAGAGTGTATCAAGAAAGTTCTAGCAGGAATAACAAGATTAGAACTGATTCTGCTTTGGGGTTAGGAGAAATAGATCAGGCAACTTCTGAAGGCAATCTAAGGTTACTTGTTGCCATCTGAAAAATGCAAGATTTATTTCAGTAGAAGGGAGAAGTGCTACAGTAACTTGAATTCCCAAGGCCACTAATGCTCTTAGAGAAGCAGTTTTTATAAAAATGGTTATTGTCACTCAGAATGATCCATTTCTCCAGAAAACTTAGCTTTCAATATATTGTCAATTAAAACGGGGGTATGTGTGTGTGGAGTAAAACCACTAAACCCTATTCAGTAGAAGGTCTCACAGAAACAGAATTTGGAATGCATAGATTAGATGTAATTTTAAAACCATTTAAAACCTCACAGTGTCACCTCAATTGCAGGGTAAGATGCAGCCAGAATGCATTAGAGAGGCTTATGGAAACTAGTTTATAAATGTATTGCTGAACAAATCCATGTTCTAAATGGAATTAAATCAAACTCTGGAAACAATTTCTGGATGCTATTCTGTCAGCTCCACTGAGCACGAGTATACAGCAATGGGACAAATACAATCTAGAGGTCACACACAATCAAGCTACACAATTCCACTGAACACCAGAACGTAGAAAGATACCAAGCATCTTCAAAACAATGGCTATGACTGAAGTTATATTTTTAAATTTTATTTTTAAAATATTATTTATCATTTAACATGCAAAGACTAAGCTATACAACCAAAATATGAAATGGACACTGTACCGAAGTTTTAATGAAATCCAGGTTTTTCAAGTTTTCCAGCAACCTTTGACTCTAAAAGGCCACAGCAGAAGGGGGAAAAAAAGGAGACAAACACAGTTTCAGAAGTTGAGAATTAGTCTGAAAAACCATTAGTCACTGCCATAATTTCTATTTCTGAACAAATCCCTAAGACCCAGACATTCATCCAGTTCTTACTTGTAAATTTAAAATGTGATTTTCATTACAGTGGAGTCATGGTGTATTTGTTGACCAAGTTCCACAGATATTCCAACTTTGTTGACTAACTAAAGCACAGCATGTAGCAGAAGAGTTAATTTTCTCAAAGCTACCATAGCAACTGGTTATGATGGCTTTCTAAATTATTTTCATTAGAAAATACACTCTTGCGTTGTGATTTATGACTATTAATAGACTATGATAAAAGCTAAGATCAATTTTAGATGCCACAAAATCTTAGTGACTAATAATACTGCCACTCTTTTAGGTCTTTCATGTCAATTGGATTTATTTACAAAAACAAATAAAATATACAATCTAATAGGAAGAGCATATCCCTCCCTCTAACACTTTACTCCGCTTTCCTAATTTGTTCATTACACAACATGAACCAACATGCTAAACTGTCAACAACAGCAGTATTAGTAGTTGATTGTCACAATAATCAAAACGATGTGTTAACAGCTATTACCAACAAATTCTTAAGTATAACAGTGTTCTGTGGTAGCCACATGGATATCACTTGTACTGTCATTGCTATCTAACCTGAAACTGTTTCATTAGAGGGCGAAGATGCTTAAGAACAGTCTCCAGCCCATACTCAAACCAGCCAAATACCCATAACCCATGTGCCAACAAGCTGTTCTTACTAGTTGTGAGGCATGTTTTATCCTCTCCACAATCCCATCGTGGCCCAGGTACTGCAAGGAGAGCCACAGGGGCAGGGCACGGAGCTTCTCTACGGGCTGACTTGATGTCAGCCCAGCTGCCAAGGACTGAAGAGGAAAACAAACAACAAACAAACCATTAACCTTTCCAATTATAACATTCTTGCCTACTTCTGGAACATGTCACAGCTAAAATAGGGGAGCTTTTGCAAATTATAATTTAGATGCTTACCAACAACAAGATCAAAATTAAAGTCTCTAGATCTTGAGAATAATGACTGAGAAGTTAAACATACCAAAGATGGATCGTCATGTCTGTAAAGTGTCACTGCAGGCACAGCTGGGAGACCCAGCCAGGAACCCAGAGTAAGAGTCATGCTGTCACATTTTGTAGCAGCCTGAAGTTTATGATAATAAGCAGAATATAAGATATATATTTTTTTTATTAGAACATGACCTTAAAATCTAGAGCATGCTATTAAGTTTTTAGATGTAGTAAAACGTACCAGTACAGAAGAGGAGACGTATCCCAAAGCCAAAGTTGCCAAATTCACACTAGAAAAATAAAGTGATTTTAGCACATTTAAAATATATATTAAGAGATAGCATTTTAATCTTCAGTTTAAATATTTCATGTTGATGTGCAAATGGGTGTAATTTTTGTTCATATATTTTTCATTAAGAAGCAACAGATGTTGCTACTTGGTATTCCAAGACTGAAAACCCAAAAGTAAAAATGCATTTCAATCTAAAAATGTTTCAGTCCAACCTTTGGGGAAAATCACCTCCTGAAGTTCTGCCCACAATTCAGTATCATTTGGCATAAAAACATAAATAGCATACAGACATAACACTATACAGTGAACAATCAGAAGAAATAGACTCTACTCCAGGGCAAAAAAAAATAAATAAAAAATCTTAGATTACTGGAGTTTTTTCTAAATTATTGATTTTTTTTTCCTCTTGGTTTAGTCCTCCTCCCAGTTTTGCTGCACACTGCACTTGCAGCAGCCTTCTTGACAACCTTCATTCAAGTGTCATCTCTTCTCCACTCATTTCATTCTCTTTTCTCATTCTTAATAATCACTGTATATTGTCTCCTCTGACTTGTCGTGTGAGGTCTTTTTATTCATATTCCAGGTTATTCAAAGCATGGGCAGATAAGATTACCATCTGAGTAAAAGTAACCACTAACCTATGCTGAAATAACCGCTCCAATTAATTATTCCTGTATATGTAAATCTGTATCTCATAAAGTGACAAAATTATAACCATATAAAATGCTTCATATGACAAAAAAAAAAGAAAAGAAGATGGTCCTATGGACCTCTGCTAGCTGGTTAGCTGTACAATTATGTGCTGTCCAGTAGTCAGACTCTACATTAATATAGTTATACAGAAATAAATTTCAAGTTTCATACCCTTCTACATGAAGCCACATATTGTACTGCTCACAGAGTTCCTTCAGTCGGCCAAGTTTATCTGTGTGCCCAGCACCTGGTGTCCCTTTGTTGAAAAGAAAAAAAGGTAATTACAAGGAATAAGGATGCAAACTGGGACACTACGTGAAAGGACCTCTTGTATTATTGTCAGAAAAGTCACACAAGAGCAGGAAAGAGGATGTTTAAAAAGAGCCCACTACAAAATATTTGTATCTAATGAACAAATGGAATTCCTGAAAAAAATTACAGATACTGTTTTGATTGGCAATATATGTTAAAGATACTTTGAAAAATAGATGTCCAAAGTGTAAATGTGAAACTGACTTTCACCAAGAAATTTGCATTCACTAAAGTAAGTTCTAGTCATATGAATATATCATGTGTCATAAGCAGAACTGTAGCAGGAAAATCCAGCTTTAAAACAGTTAAATAAAACCCCCTATAGAGAAGTAATTGTTGTGTGATCATTAAGGTATTTCTTTATACTTCTTGACATGCAAGTACTAAGCTGTTGAGAAAGTGTATTTTTACTTTGGATTATATATATATATATTAATGAAATAGCATGCATTTGTTGTTATTGTTTGTTCATAGCACCTACCAGCATTGGCCACAAGCAACAAAGGCAGTTTTCCAGACTCAACATCATCTTTAATCACTCTGTCCAACAAAGCAACATCCTGTTAACAATAAGAAAAAGATACATAAAATGTTTCCCAAACAATACAGAATTGTTTATGCTGAGCTGGAAAAACAAATTAAAAGTTGAAATGGACAGGATTCTGAAGTTCTAGAAGACATTCCTAATGTCTTTGTGGCTTGCAGTTTCCTCTTCTCTAAAGTAAAATAGCACAAAGGTCAGATAAAGCATTTGTGAAAAATAAACCATCATGTAGCTTGTAAACAAACCTCCAACTACATGTATTCAAGGAATGTTGGACAAAAAAAAAATCACCTTAGTATATGCCATTAAAATATCTTGCAAATGACAAGACCAAGATACAAGCTGCTTCCTTGTTAAGACTATTTCAATCTCCAATTTGTACCTCTGTAACATAAAAGACCTGAAAGCTGAAAAAGGAAGCACGTAACAAGCTTTTCCTAGAAACATACTTAATATTCATTGAATGCGGGTTTAAAAAAAAAATTTAAAAAATGTAAAAAAGAGCTCTTAAGAAAGACAAACTTACCATTTGATGTTGAGATCCAAACATAGTGTTACAAGGCACCCGACACATGCAAGAGAGGGGTAACCCAAGCTGCAAGGAAAATGGAATTTCAACGGAGACATCCTTCTTTCAAGTTCACAGAATTATATACAGTGGCACAAGAAATAGTAGCATGACAATACACAGCTAGGTATTACATTATAAAGTTAATTTTCTGCTAAAACTTACAATCAAATTAATAGCAAAGAATGCCCAGGAGAAACTGGAAAACACAACAGTCAGCTTTTGGTTAGCAGGTCAGCCACCTTCAGTGTTTCTAATGAGACACCTGTGCTCTGTACAGCAGCCTAAACTCAATCCTTTTTCTTGGCCACCCCTGCAACTCATACGTACTCCGAGCAAATCTGGGCTTTGTGCATGGGCCACATGCCATTGGAGGGTCAGTCAATTCTCTGCTGGGGAGTAAGCAATCTGCCTACTTGATCATACAGCTCAGCTGACTACTCATGCTGGTAAGTCTGAAATTCTTCCCTTGACATGGTGCCAAATTCCAGATAACTTCTGCATCATTAACATGAGGGGGAGCTGGGAAATCAAGGTCTCTTACATGTTGATCTTTAACTTGAAAGATCACTAGACAAGTGAAATCTAGTTGATCATACTCATCACTGAACAGAAGGTTCAGCAAATTAAAAGAACTACAGAATAATTCTGTTTTAACCTTTTGTTTAACAAAAATTGAATTAAACATCTGACTACTCAGTTTCAATTGTCTGCTCTTCAATATACAGTACTTATAAAAATCTAAGATAAAATGCTGTCTCTTTTAAGTTCAGTGACCACCTAATATGGAGAGGTTAGGTTACCTTATAAACAAAAGGCACCACTGTTATGAGCAGTATGTACTTCCATACTCAGACAAAAAAGGCTCCCAAAATACTGGTTCTTAGCACTATTTCTCGTATCAAAAACTGTAGGTCTGTGATGACATGCAACACTGAGCTTACCAAGGACACCAACCCATTCCAATGAACTTTTACCACCTACTTCCCAAGTAATTTTGGCCAAGACAAGTTCCATCTATGATACCATTTCCATTTCTCTGTAGTCTACATTTTTAATCAGCTAGTAGTACCTATGCCTGCCTTCTCAGGGCCTTTCTGTTCCTCCCACTATACTGTTGCTGCAAAACACAGACTATAAATGCAACCTGGAAGTATCTTTTCCAGACAAATGGTTTTAATTTAAACATGTGATCCCTTTCAGCTATTGAGGTTACCCCCAGTACAGACTTGTCTTCCTTTGCCCCTGTTTTGTAATTATATTGGAAGTTACAATTAATAGAGGATTACCAACACACAGTATAACATTTTTGTATTACTACCATACTTTGGCTAGCATCAGTATGGTTTCACCTCAGACTCCCTTCTTTCAACCCGTTTTGTTGCCGTTTAGTCACATTTATATTGTTTCTACCATGAGGAAGAATACATTTTCAAATTTAACGAAGTTATGCTTTTCCTAAAATAAACTTTTTTGAAGCCAAAGCTCAGTCCTCATTCTTCAAAATGCCCCTTTTTACACTGTCTCATTAGGAAGACACATCATTCTAATTTTTAGAGACATAATTTTTATAAACTACAAAAATCTGCTATGTCCATAAAAAGGAAAAGAAGAGATGAGGATGAAGGCAGTCTGCTCATAAACAGTGATCAAGCTAATGTGTAGAAGGAACAGGAGAGCTGCACAGAGAGCCTGCTCAGCCTGCTTGGGGATACATGCATTCACTCAGCATAGCAGGATTAGGAGAAATCTGGAGGAAGCTTCACTGGTAATTGTGGAAGTTCCAGGCAGACACATGGACCTAAAGGAAAACATTCACTGGCCCCAACCAATTTCCAAGACTGCTTCCAGCAGCGTACCAGACTAGAGTGCAAGTACCAGTCTCTCACAGGAAAAATCTAAATATATTTCTAAGATCCAAATTTCAAGTAGGCAATATGAAGCTAGGTAGGTTCTACTTAGAGCTAAAACCCCAACTGATTCACTTTACCTGATTGCAGAGAGCTCGGCCCAAGCCTGTTCTAGCTGCCGAACTAATGTATATGACAGGCTGCTTAGAACAGAGGACATTAAATCCTTCCACTGTATAATCTTCATAACGTGTGTGAATAACAAGTCGACAGATTTTTAGGAGACCTTCACGATCATCTTCATGATAATATGCTGATCCATTTTCATACCTGCAAGAAAAGTCAAGTAAATGTGACCAACAAAACCAATAGCCAGTTTAGTGACTAAACTGACCGGCAAGTTTTATTTTTATCACTTCATCTTTGACAGCACTAAAAAAATAAAATAAATCTTCTTTTCAGTAGCACTGGCAAGACTTTCTGAAAGATAGTGTTATGAGGAGAAAGTGGCTGGGTTTTTTTGCTTTAGGAAGAAAGACAGGAATTTTTAATCAGTGAAACCCCACCCCAACAGCTCCCTGCAATTGATTTCCATTACTCTTCTCTCATGAACAGTTTGAGGTATCTATGGTACATGATGAAATGGGCATTTATAGAAAATTTCACTGTACTGTATGTTTCAGTAGTGTCACTTACCATACCTGGAAAAATAAACTAGATCCAGGAAGAGGAAAGGAGAAGTTAACTGAAAACGTCTTTTAAAAATACAAAGAACCTCAAGCCTCAGCAACATAGCATATGCCTCAAGAAACAAGAATTTAGTTGAATGTTTCACCAAATGTATGTCTGCAACTGTACTTTGGGCCTTAGCTCCACCATATAGCCTTTATAAAAGGATTTTTAAGGCAACCATGTTACTGAAGTTCCTGCCATTCAACAAGAAATCTCTTTTTTTAATATATAAATGATGTGATGTGTTTCAGACCTTTCAAAGAATATTTGTAACTTCGTGGCACAGTGGTTTCTTTTGTTGACAGCCTCAGACCAGTCACACATATTTTAAAATAATTATCACTACCTAGTCAATATATAAGTTATTCAGTGACTCACCTGAAAAGCCTGCAGAGCCAGAGAGTAGTATCAGAAAGGATCCTTGTTGTAAGTTTTCTCAGTCGTTCCCTGTCCAGTACTGATATATAAGCAGCCAAACTATGTCCCAGTAGAGCCATGTGACCCTGTTCACCAACATTTTGAAGTCTGCAAGCCAGGACAGAGTAGCTGCCAACTCAATACAAGTCATGAACATTACAGTAATTTTGGGTTTGCATGTTTTTACTGCAGAGTGGCAGAATTTGTTGACATGCAATTTTAAATATTTAGCAGAGAGAAGTACAGTACAGCACAGTCACCTTCCCGCCATTGTGTATTAACATACTAAAATGCCAGTGTAGACAAAAGCACTTGCACTTCACTTAGCCTAGTTGGTTACAATAAAACCACAGCTTCTTTTTTAGCCAACCAGATGCCAGGAGGGGGAACTAAGCACCTTATCTGCATGGGGACCGTAAACTGCATTATACACATACCTTTCTCTCCTCATGCAAAGAAAGCTCAGAAGAATTATTAATATATTTACATTAATAGTTTTATACTCTTAAGAAAGGCAAGCCTAATGCATTATTCTGATTCACTATATAAGTTGCCTTTAAAAAGTTGCATGATTGCACAACATCTTTCCACTTTAAAACACTTAAATGTGTAAGTTCTGTAATAATCAGAATTTAAAACAAAATCAGGTATTTTCTACATACAATAAATCACACTGGATTTACCGGTAGGCCTGTGAAGTTTCCTCTTCCTCCTCTCCATGCATGAGGTTCTGAACTAACTGAAGTATGCTCACCATATCCTGGCCACTGTCATACCAGGGAGCAGAAAACAAAAACCACATTAAAAAAAAAACCAGCAAACAAGAGTTAAGTACCAGCATCTAACAAATTTGGGACACTGCATGGTAAGACATGAAGACAACATGGCATTGTTACAGAATGCTGAGCATAGCAACAAAAAGGGCTCCTTGCTCTCAGAAAAACAGACAATGAATACAAGGTTTCTGAATCTATTAACTCAAAACCCTACTTAATTATAGTAGGACACTCCAGTAATTATGAACTCAAGACTCACAGGAAAACAAATCGGCTGAAATGTGAAAAATTGAACTGAAATATTTAACTTGACAACATTTGCTACACAGCAATAACTAAGGATCCAAATTTCTCTTCCCAGGATGCAGCTTCAGCTCACAAACTCAGCACATCTCTTAAACAATTACCTACAAATACCAGTTTCTGGCAAACAAAAGCTACATTAGATTGCTGACATCATGCACTCCAGAAGACCCACAACATTTCAACTTGTATAATTCCAATTAAAATTTACAGTAGTATAAAAACTTGCACTCTGATAGTTTAATTTGCTTTTTAATCTTACAAAAGCTAATTCAGTGTCTCCATTCAACAACAGATTAAGTTTATACATACAAAAGACTGCACGAGATTTTGCAATACAAGAGCATAATGTAAAAATTGTTGGTGCCTACCTGCCTTGGAGTGGACCAGGAATATCCTTCCGTGCATACTTCTTTTCATTTTCCTCCTCCACTTTTCTAAATTAAAGACACAAAAATAATCAATTTTTTAGTATTTAGTCAGAGTTTTGGAGCATCAAATGTGTACTTCACTTTGACTTGCAGGAATCCATACCGGCATGTTTGCAATCTATTTCACTGACAACAGTTTAATAAATAAATCAGATGAGACTAATACAAATGCTTAGCTCAGACTGAATTAAAGAGTTCCTAAGTTCTGGGGTTTTAGTTCTTTAACAGAAAATGCCAAACTTACAGAAGAGTATCACATATACAGGAATAAAAAGTTGCTTGCACAGCAACAGGGAAAAAAAAAAATCAAACATCTTTGAAAAAAGACTTGCTGGACTTGCTCCAAATATGGCAGAACATGCATAAAGACACATACACTTGTTTTTAAAATCTCACCATTTGAGAAATAATGGTGATTGGTATACTGTAAACTTCAGAATGACAATATGACCTTAAACTACTAGGAACATGAGTTCTTTCCTGCTTAACAACAGTGACATTAATAATTCTCCTCTTAGCACAAACTGTTGTTTTTGTAGTTGTCCTTTGCACATACCTTTGATTGTCTTCTAGCATCTTCATTGCTTCATTCAAATTCTTTCCCATTTCTGCTAGAGTAGGGTCGACCATCTTTCAGGGAAAAAAATAACTTTTACCAAAAAAACCAAACTCATTTATTTTACTACTGTCCCACAACATCCTCAACAGAAAAGCATGCATTAGACAGATTGTTTTAATTAGTGTCTGTATATTAATTTAAAAATAACAGTATTTTGTATATCCTGAACTTGAAATACACATATTACTAACCTAAATTAGCCCGAAAGAAAACTCAATTGTGATGTGAATTTTTAGATCTAAATTTTTCCCTGACAAAGAAAAACAGATTTTTTTCCCAAATCTTCTTTAATTTCTATACCCTTTTGGAGTCTGATGGATAGTAAAAGAAAAAGCATCAAAAGGCAAGAAGGATTTGAGAAGCACCCAGGTGTTCAAACGGTGGATATTAAACTGTATTTGAAAAATAAATGCACCTTGTTATGAAGGCAGAAGGGAACACCACTGATAAGACCCATGACATTAGACAGCAATAAACTTTAAGATATTCAGGTGACCCTGTTTAAGAGTGTCTTCTCCCTCTGCTTCCCAAATGTGTGCATAGATTCCATAAATTCAACATCAACGCTTTTGCAAAAGATTGGCCCACATACCAAAGCTTCTAGTAGTTAACCCTGTAGACTGCTGCTAAGGTTGGGGGATACAGGGGCAGGGATAGTGGCTGTTGAAAAATTAAATTTAAAAAAATATTACACTTGCTTTGGATAAGTTTATCACACTATCCATGCTGCAGGAATATAATAGCTTGTCTGTTACAGTATTTGAGAAACAGTATTCCTAAAGGCCTGCACACACTTTCCATCACTGCTGATGGAAACGTGCAACTGTTGCACCCATGCAACACAAGCAAATAGGTTTGCTCATGCAGATGGGGACACAGAAGCAAATTTAATCACAGAAGGTAGTGGGATTAATTTACATGAGGATTTTACACTTCCTTTATCCGGAGGACTGATCAAGAAAATATCAAGTTGAAAGTTGCCATATGTTCAAAGACTATTTTTAACAAAATATTTAGAGATTTAACTCATATTATTGCAAGTGGTAGGTGGCTGAATGAACCAGAAGCTAGGCATGGTCACACTGGATCAAACCATGCTTTACAGCTGTCTGTATTCCCTTGCTTTAGAAGCAACCAGTACAAATGTTTAGGGGATAACAAAAATATTTTCCCACAAGGACTCTTGGCATTTAGCAATAAATGGATTTTTACACTTCTGGCTTCCATAACATACAATGGCTGTAAGGTCCACAATTTAATTAAGCACTGCATGAAAAGCAGTTCAGATATTAAAAGTTCAAGAGCTCATCACAGAGATTAAAAAAAAACAACACCACAACACACAGAGCAAGCATTGGATACTCAGAATACAATATGTATATATAGGTAAAAGAAAAATCTAAATACGATAATTGGCAATACTTCCTTATGTTTTCAGTGGTTTCCTGAGTTGCACCTCATCAAATTCTGAAAAGAATTGTTACTTGAGAAATAAGTTTTGCGCCTGGGAGACTTTAAGGGAGTAACTGACTTGACATAATTTACTGATTGCCACTAATATGCATACTTTAATTCTGGTTGCCATAAAACATGATCAGTAGCTGGAAGGTAGTTATTTTCTTGAACCTCCCTCAGCATCACATGCAAATATTCAAATAGATCTGTTTAGTTGAAGACACAAGAGGCATTACAAAAAGGGCTTCAAGCTGCTTTTGTTTGTTATTAACACCAAATTCACGTGCTGGAATTGCACCAGATGTTAAAACCTGCCTGTGCTTCCTTGTGACTCATCCTGTCTCACAAGGATGCAACCCTCTGCCAATAACATGGCAAAATAAATATATAAAATACAGTTTTAAAAGTCATAAGAAGTTACGCTGAGCTCCAGAAAATGAAATTGAGCAAGTCTTTGAATTCTGATGTGGGCTTAATCGGAACATTAATCCCTTCTGTACTGTTGTGGTTTTTTTTCCTTTCCAATTGCTAAGTGGACATGTAGTAACTTATTTTCTTCCTTGAATTATGGGAAGTAAAAAACCCCTTTCACAGCTACATACTGAATTTTATCTATGCTTCCTTCTCTGCTCACATTAGTAAGGGCATGTAGGTGAGAAGCAGAAGACTATCTCATTTTAAGCAGAAAGAAAAACAGGTGTGGCAAAGTTGCAACAACAAACCATGCGGTTAATAAAGTTTTCTGAATACACTTCAGACACAAGTAGTACCTTGCTTTAGTTTAGTCTGTAAATGGGCTCACGCCTGTATAAAATCTAATCAGTAATAAACAGAGTACTTTTTTCATGTTCTTGAACTATTTTTAGAAAGAAATTGGCATTCTTGAACGCCTCCTGAAGCACAGGACAACACACTTTTTGAGGGGGTAAAAACAGCTACATTAGATAGTTTATTAGCCTTAGTTTCTGCACCCATTACTTCCCCTGGTATTGTGAGATCTGGCTCTGGTCAGAGTTAGATAAATCCTCTGACCAGGTGAGTTACATGACATGCAATGTCCTTTCAAGCTCTGAGAAAGCACCAGCCATAGCTTCTTCCTTCAAGGTGCCCATTCAACAACCTGACACCTTCTGTCTCCTTAAGCTCTTGAAAGATTCTGATATTCAATATTTTGCTTTGATCTTTATCACTTGTTGCCTTCAAAATGTCTTAATCCAATATACCAAGGTTAACTTGCAACAGGTGTGATTTGTGGTTACTTCCCTATTTTGTAACTAACTGGTTTTTAAGTACTTTGAACTGTAAACTGCTTTTGGTTTTATAGGCAGTATGTCTCACCTTGGGGTCACAGGCAGCTGAGGAGGAATAAGGGGCCATTGTCTAGTTGTGATAAGACTGAATGTTTATTACAAATTCAAAGAGGAGAATGTTGCTTCATGTACCACTGTTTTACAATCTTGATTTTGCATTTCTGTAGCCTGTATTTCTAATGTAAGAAAGGGACAATTTTAAAACAGTCTGCATAAACTACTGTGTGTGCAGAGGAACTTATAGGTGTAGCTCATTCAGTATTTCATGAGATATATACATCGTTTTCCCACTATATCATTATATTTGCCTTGAAGAAAGCTTTACTATCCAAAACCAGAGAACTGTTCTCAACAGTAAATTAATCTCAAACAATACCAGTATTCTTCAGCCAAAAGAATACTGTATTTATTGTCCAGGCTAAGTTTTAGATAACAAATTAAAAAGCAGCCATTTCCGGACAGGCTTGAATAAAAACAAGTTTACAGGTATTTGCTCTTCTATCTCTATCACTTCCCTGCCATGCAGCAGAATCTGCACACAAGCCTGCTGTTACGAGTTTTGGGTACAGTTACCAGGATGTTGTCACCATTAACACAGTAACAAAAGACAAAAGTCACAGGTTGAGCAAGAAACCAAAACAGTATTTCATATTTAGTGAAAACACTGCGACAGAAACAAGTTACAAAGAAAAAATGTCCCCTATTTTACCATCAACAAAATCACCTTACTTGAAACTTTAAATGTTAAAAACTGAAATTTAGCACAGGTTTCCAGAAGAAATTAAAATTTGCATTCTCCTCAAAAAAGAATTCTGGATTTCAAATAGAATTCATTCTATATATACACCACTTATGACACACAATATTCACACATCAAAAAAAGCCCCTGAAACATTTGATAAAAGGAAGATAATTGGCAAAACTGAACTACGAGGTTGCTGGTGTGCACACCTGTGTGTCAGATTCTACAACAATTTTCCTCACAATCCTATCATGCTAAGTTTTCAGTTCTTGAGAAGTTTCTCATCTGCTAAAAAAAATAATCTTTTTCTATGTGCAAGAACCTATTTACTGTAGTCATCCAATGTCACCATCTACTACAGCTAATTAGGTGATTCTACCAAAATGCTTTCTTCGTTATGAAAAATACAAGTTTGGAAAATGTTTAGTATCAGTTTAAAAGTACTTATCACTGCCATCTCAATAAGCTACACATATAAATATATAAGGAGAAAATCCATGATTCAAATAAAAGAGAATCTCAGATGTATTATGAGAATGCTTAAATAAGCACAATGTAAGTGGACACACATTCTCTGAGGATAATCATATCCCAGCTTGGATGAATTTCAAATTTATTTAGGGATAAAACTTATATATCATGCTCAAGACTAGATAAAGTGGAGATTGTACCATTATTCTGCATGAGTCCCATTGACAAAGACCATATTCTATACTAGTATACTCAATTAAGTTTTACTTAAGAAATTAAAACTTCTCAGAACAAGCTGTGGCCACTGTAATCAGTTTTGTAACTAGTAAAGAACTTCAGCTTTTTAAAGGTTACCAAATACTCTTTAACACTGTATTCATGTGATTTGTAATATATCAAATATTTTTGCTACCAATTCATTAACCACATCAGAAGGACACTTTCTCAATTTCCTTACTGTTCATTTTGCTAGGGCACATCCTTTTTAAAGTTCTCTAGCAAATTCCAAAGATCACATAAAACTGAACACGCTCTGTACAGTAAATGATTTGAAGTGGAACATCTCTTAAGCATACAAAGTATAAATTACTTCAAAGGTATACTGTCCTAGAAGACATACAACAATGCTGATAAAGTATGTATAAGCAGCCACTCCATCCTCACATCTAGAGCAGGTCTTTGAGCAACAGCAGGTGCCACGGCAGCCCACAGAAGTGTGGTAGGTTCCAGACTACAGGATCCTGACTGACTCACAGAGACCAAGGCAAAATAAGTTCTGTCAGTCACTTAACAGTTTTACAGAATCAATGTTTGCTTTGTACAGTACACTGGACAGAAAACAGCACACACAAGGCAGCAAACATCTCCAGTATGAAACAAACAAACAAAAAAAACAACCAAAAACGGTCCTAAATCAATGTCCTGGTACTTATTCAGAGTTTCAATAGATGCAGCACAGCGGTGGCACAGGGCGACGAACGCCAAGTACTGTGACTGGGGAGTGGGACACGCCTGTGGGCTTCACTGGTGTCTCAAGGCTTCCTGAGAACAAGTTGACTCAGGCCCGGGTGACACAGCCCTCCTCGGCGGAGGCGGACCAAGAGCCCCGGCGGAGCCACGACACCGCCGAAGCGCTGGGGAAGCATCACC